CAGCGGCAGAATACTACATGAACCCGTGACATATTTTTTTAAGAGCTGGTTAGCAAGAGCTGGATCTCCTTTTCTTGATCGGTTTAATGAAGTAATACTCAAAGCATCAGAACATGGATTACTATCGTTTCTTCTGAACGCAAATGATGAACATCAAAATAAACCTTCGGCACCGGAAGAAATCAGTAAGGAGAAACTACTTATGATTCTTCTTTATTTGCTGGTTATTGGATACTCCGCCGCAACGTTAACTTTTATGGTGGAAGTAATGATGAGCGTCATCAATCGACGTAGAGTCAATGCATCTTGTCGTACTTGCTGTAAAAGTATGAAATAAAATATTACAGAGAGGTGTTTTTATTAAGAACTTTTTTTGCAATTCTGTCATGTATATGTAAATAACGTTTGTCTTCACTTTTTGGCTTTGATTACTGACAGATTCCAGGAAAAATTGAAGAATGCTGTTGTTGTTTGATAAATTATATTCTTCGAATCTTAGTTTTTCATTAATACCATGAACAATAAGTATCGATAACTTCGTGCAAAAAAACAAATCTCTCGTTCTACGTCTAGAGGTTTTAGCTAAAACAAGTCAACTGTTTTTTTTCTTTTAACCTTTGTTGCATTTTGTTTTATACGTTTAATATTTAAAGTCTATCATTTACAATAAAATCTAAACACAGTTTATAATCAAGCAATACTGATGAAGTTTAACTGATTATTATTTAATTGCAAATGCAGTTTTGTTGCTTTAAAGGTGCAACTTGAGAGTGATGTCTTCTTTGATTTTTAATATTTTATGCAATAAGATATATTTTTGTATATACTGCTGCTAATTGACAAACGGAAAATACTTAGAAATTGTTATAAGCTTCAAGATGTAAGGCCGTATTTATTTTTAAAATTTTTTATTTAACTGAAATAACTACTGTTTCGATTTACCCCTTGTTTCTATCTACCCCATCTGACCCTAATCAGTAAATTCTTTATTGAATTTAAATAATTTAATTCTCGTTGACTTTTCTAATAAAAATTTATTTAAAAATGAATTGTAACGTGAATTTAAAAAAAAACTTGAATTTGAAAATGTGTTGAATAAAATAAAATAAAATCTTTGAAAATTTGAATATTTTATACAAATGATTAAAAAAATTCATGTTAAAAAATGTTTTTTAATACTTTTCAAAATTTCAATTATCTTTATAAGTAATAAAATTTTTCATCCAAAATTCAATTATTAATATAATTTTCAAAAATCTTAATAAATTATACTTGGCAAAATTTTCAATTATTTTCAAAAATTTTCCTCGGTTCAATGATTTTCAATTTCTACTATTTTAATAAAATTTTCCAAAAGAATTCAATTAATTAAACAAAAAATTTTTTTTTTGATAAAATTCTACGCAAAGATTTATTTATTTTCATAAATAATAAAAATTTCACTGGGAATTCAATTATTTGCAAATTTTTTTTTATAAATTTCTTCGCAATAATTTCATTATTTTCATAAACGCAATAACATTTTTTTAAAGGAATTCAATTAGTTTCATAAATATTAAAATTCTTTTTAGGAATTCAATTATTTTCCATAAAGAATGAAAATCATCAAAGAATTTGAATTATTTTTAATTCAATTTTAGTTGAATACTTTGAAAAATGTAATTATTTTAAAAAATTTTATCGCAAGAATTCAATTATTTTTATTTTTGTATTTAAATAATTTAAATCTCGTAGAATTTTCTAATGAAAATTGATTAAAAAATGAATTTCAGTTAAAAATGTAGACGATTATAATTAAATATTAAATTGAATTTTTATACTTTTAAATAACAATTCTGTAGAATTAATTTTTTTGTACAGTTTCATTGAATTTTGAAATTGTTTGAGATTTTTATTTTCTAATATATATTTAATTGAAGAATTTTCGAATAAAATTGAAATTTCGTAAAATTTTTCTCGCTGGCTCTGAAAATAAACAACAGAATAAGAGACAACTTAATTGGCATGTGAGGAAAAAATGTTTATTTATTACAGACGTAATTATAAACCTCGTTATAAACTAAAACATTAATAAAAAATGAATTTTCAGAACTTTCATCAAAATGTCGCTAGCATTTTATTAAAATTTTGTTTATGTGTAGTAATAAGCACCTTATTGTTTAAAAACTTTTTCATCGCTTTTGTCATAAATTTTTGTTAATATACAATTAAAAGAGATAGCAATAAATTTTCATGTAATTTATTATTGGTTGATTATAATAGACAGTTTGTAGTGCAACTTCTTTCACTGTATATATATATATATATATATATATATATATATATATATATATATATATATATATATACTAGCTGCGATACCCGTCTTCGACGGGTTATTAGTTATTGTTATTCCTAGTTATATATTAATAGCTGCGATACCCGTCTTCGACGTGTTTCTTAGTATTTTTATAGTTTTCCATATTGAGTATTGATTGGTATTTAACCAACTACATTGAAAATAATTTTCTTGATGATTATTAATATTAATTAATGAAGAAGAAAACGAAATTTTAAGGAAAGAAAAATGATAATGTTTACAATTTTTAAAATCGCCCAAATGTAAAAACCATCATGGCTTAATAACGGCCCAGTACTGGCAAAGTTGTCACCTAGTCTTGGTCGATATTATTGGGACTACTCTTGTGGTGTTAATTTCGGTTTGACGTCGGCAGACGTTAACGGCCCAATATTCACTGCCATTACTTTCCCAGTATTGGCAAAATACAAAAACTAATATAAATTATTCCATTTTTTATTAATTAACTACGTCCCAATATTGGCAATTATATTTTGCCATCATTGCAGATACAAAATTTTTACTATTAATGTGCCATTACTGAGCCGATCAACGTCCCAATATTCTGAAACTGAAAATACCAACGTTCATTCGACGAAAATTTTTACTTTAGCTAATTGCTTATTTTAATATTAACACCCTTTTGAAAAAATTACAAAAGGATCACGGATTTCCCGAAATTCCTGGAAATTCAACTAAATTATTGTTTCCTCGCCTCGCAAGCATTTTTTTCTCTTAATAATCAGAATCCATTTAAAAAAATTGCAAGAGGATTCGAGGCGAGGAAAGTTGTGATTTTTATTTTTTTGTCACGGATTTTCCAAAAATCCGAGAATTCAGTTTTATCCAATACTTTCAATTACAACTTTCCATCATAAATAGAAAAGTTTAGCCTAATAGTCTGATAATAATGTGCCACTATTGGTCCGTGCTAAGTCCCGTTACCAGCAATGAGACGTTTTGAATGCCAGTATAGGTCCAGTAGTTTTTGCCAGTTTTCTGCAGACATTCACTGAAAAAATTACATTTTAATTTTAAGAAAATCTTAATATTAAAATCTTAATATTCTTATATTCCCCACTTAGATTATGTGGGAAATATTCTTACAATAAGAAGAAAATTAGTATTGTAAGAATATTTCCTACTTAATTTAAGTGGGGAATATTCTTGGCGCATATTTAAGAAGTTTTTCTTAAAATTAGAATGTAATTTTTTCAGTGCTGACGGGCCCGTTTTGCAGTCTTAGAATTTCGCATTTGGAGCTTATAAAAAACCATTTATTATCTTTTTTCCGAGAAGCACCACGTGGAGGTGACCACTATTGGTTGTTTTTGGCAAGTTTTTAAATCCCGTGCAGAAATTGCCCTAACAGGGCCCTGACCCCGCATGAAACCGGGAACCCGACCGGGCCCCGGCCTGGTAGCTAGTCCAATCGGGCTTTTCGTCATGGCGCTGGGCGGGTTCCCTGTTTCACCCCTGTCTGGACCCGGCCAGGCCCCTGTCAAAATTTCTACTCGGGATTATTCTCTAGGAGCTTTGTAAAACTAAAAAAAAATTCTTGTTAATTAAATTCGATAAAAAATATGAAACATTTTTATTTCAGTATTACTAAATTATCTTGGATCATAATTTGTAAAAACAAAAAACATCTTATTTAGAAGTTATAAGTAGGTAAAATCAAAAAAATTAGATATTAATATTTTCAATTTTTATGGGTAAAAATATTTAAACTTTTAAATTTTATATTTAAAAATCCTATTTTTTTCTATTTTTATAATAAAATTGAAATTAAAATTACCAAGAAAACAAATTAATTAATTAATTAGAAAATATCAATACCAACTTAATGCAAGAATTAATTAATATTTAACCCTTTGAGTAGCAGTGATACATTTAATTTATATGAACATTTTTTTGTTAACTTCTGTATAACTTTCTTGATTTTAAAAACTGAATATTGAAACAATTTTTTTGGTCAAATGAGGCAAATTTCTTGCTTTAAATACTGGTCTTTAAATAAAAAAAGTTTAATAACTTTCCATAAAAAGCTTGTTTAAAAATCAAAAATCATCATTTTTGTAGAAAAAATTTGATCAGAAAAATCGAAAAAAATTTCAAAATACGTCTTTTTTGAAATTTTAGTATAGAAATGGGTTGTATTTATCTAAAAAGTTAGTTAAGGATAGTTTTTCATCCATTTTATAAAAAATAAAAATTTTTCATTTTTTTGATTTTTCGAATTTTTTGAAAAAATGTCGTAACTTTCGTTTAAGTTAATATTTTTTAATCGGATAAGGCTATGATTTTAAGTTACGTTAATACCTAATAGACTGCCAAGTTTCACTTCAATCGGTTGAACCGTTTTCAAGTGATGCGCGAACAAAGTTTTGCATACAGACAGACAGACAGACAGAAGGACAGACAGACAGACAGACAGATAGACAGACAGACAGACATTTTTTTTTTTACATTTTTCGAATTCTCATGTCTCAAGAAGAAAAAATATATAAGAATTTTCAAGATTGGAGCAATGTACAGACAGAAGTCTGGTTTTATTAATATAGATATATATATATATATATATATATATATATATATATATATATATATATATATATATATATATATACTCGTTATCCTAGTATGTAGGCCAACAGTTTACTTCAAATATTAATTTCTATATTAACATCAATATAAACTACAAGGAAGTACGTAATTTAAAAAAAAGAATGCATTTCTCTTTATTATTGGTGTTTTTATTATTACTTCCAGTACATGATGTACTTGGGTTTGCTAGTAAGTTTATAAACTTTTCTTTAATGTTAATAATAAGATTTTTGTTTTTTAACTCATTTATATAATGTCGGAAGGACAAATATTAATATTTTTGTGAGTTGTAAAGTAATAAATATTTTGCAATGTTAGAGTATAATGAAAATAAAATACATTGCAGATTATTACGGGACTAGAAATGCAGCAAGAGATCATAAATGTTACACATGCATTAATGGTACACATTTTAAGTTTGGAGAATGTAAGAAAAAAACGGATGACTGCAACTATGATATACCAAACGAAAGGTCTACTACTCATGATCATTGTGTAAAACAGGGACCTTTTTATTGCTGCTATTATTTTATTACAAAGTAATAACAAAATTAAGTTCTTTTTATGATTATTTCTATTTTCTAATATAAATGTAGATATAGTCATTATATTATACATTAAAATGTATTGATTCCTTTTTGCGATCAGCAAAAAAAAATGTGCTTGTTCTCGTGAAGGAAGCAATAACATTATTTACTTCTTTATAATAAAATATTATTTACAAATCGATTCACTTTAGCATATATTTCTATACATAGAGAAAATGTTCTTAAACCATTTCTAAAAATTTTATAATTTAAAGGCCTCACGAGATTCCTAAAACACGGGATTTTAGTAATCCTAAAAAACGTTATCCTGCTGACGTGTGCGCTGGCAAATCCTAAGTCTGGTTCCGGCATTGCCATTGGCATAAAAGTTTTCTCGGAAAGATTATCCACAGTACCGTAGCTGAGTTAATATGTTTGGCCATTCAAACCTTATTCTGTATTCTTTTTGAAATATTGTATGTAACCAAAAATTGTAGTGCAAGTTACTGCAAACTATATAAAACATGAATTATATAATTTACAATTAAATCAAAAGAATTATGTTATTACCTTCTCTATAAATGTCATTCCTAATTTTTGAAATCCAAAAGTTGAAAAAATTATTGGCAATTGTATTATCCGTTGGCGTAAGTCATCCATCTAAAAACAAGTTGTAAATCTAGATGTTCATTACATGGATATTTTGATGCTTCTTCTTTATACGATTAGCAAATAAATTTGTAGAGGAAGCATTAACGACAAGTATATATTTATAATTTTTAAGTAATTTTCAGTACAATCTAACATTTATAAAAATCAAGTTCATTCGACTTAATGAAAAGAACAAAATTTTATTAGTAATATGATTCTAAATAAACAAAAAAAAAATTTAGTAAAGTGAATTTTTCAACTTTAACTGTAATTAATTCTATAAATTCCTATATACTTTGTATACATCAATCGATTCGTCTTGATGCACATTATGATTTTTGAAAGAAAGAAGTAAGATTTTATTGTACAGCAACATAATTTTGCTCAAAGAATTGAATTTTTGAGAAAAATGCGAATTTTTCGGCTTCAATTGCAATTACAATAACTATAAATTCTCATAAAATGTATACTTTATATAGATCAATCGATTTATCTTGATGCAAAGAATAAGATTTTATAATTATATATATATATATAATATCAATTTCAACATTCGGTTTAAAAAAATTTTTTGATGAAAGTAAAAAAAAATTTTTTTCAAGGTCTTTTTTAGCACATATAGGATTATGCCACAAAACCTGGAAATGTCAGGAAATTTTATAAACCTTGAAAAAACCTGGAAAAAGCAGGGAATTTTGATCAAAATCCTGGAAAATTAATATTTTCTATAAAATTTATTCTTGAAATTTAATCTTACATAATTATTTCAAAATTAATTGAATTTTAGAAAAGTTGCGTTTAAAATTACAGAATTTTTATAAATAATTGAATTTTGAAAAGATTTCAAATTAAAATCTTTGAAAACATTAACTTTTCGTACTTTTTGATTAACAATTCTACTGTAGAATTAATTTTTTTTACAAAAATTTAATTGAATTTTTCTTTAATTCTTCAAGTTTTTATTTTCTAATATATATTTAATTGAAGAATCTCACAATAATCGAAATTACGTAAAAATTTTAAGTAACAGGATTTTAAACAACAACTTTTTGAAAAATTATTTAAAAAAATTGAGTTTAAGAAGAATTTTTGTTAAAAATTCTAGAAATTAAGAATTGAACTGAAATGAAAATAATTTTGAAGAAATTATAGTAACAATATTTTTATAATATAAAATAATGATAGTATCAAGTTTTAATTATTATAAAACATTAAGAAAGCGATTACTCAAAGTCGAAGACTCGGAGTGATCGATAATATGTTCATGTTTTATAATAAAATATTTTTACATGTTATTGAATTTAAAATTTTTGAAAATCTTGATTTCTGTAAAAAAATAATATTGACGTTATATAGTTATTTTCGTATCAAGGGCGCAAAATAGGTGATTTCGCCAGAGTTGTAATCACCTTTGCGCCCATGATGCTAACATAATTTTTTGTCCTAACTGCATGGAAAGTATGTCATTGAGGGCACGAACGATTAAACGCTCATATTAGTTAAAAATTAAACTCTATATAAATGTTAACTCTTTGAAGTCTATAATGATAGAAGTTTTAATATAGAAATAAGAAAAAAATGTATTCTGGAAATATAGGATTTATTTATTTAGAACGTAGTAATTAATAATTAAACAAAACTGAAGCAAGATTGTTTAAAATTGACAATTTTTAGAGAAAATCGAAAAAATGCACATATTTTTATAGACAAAATAAAACAAGTTGAAAATGTTTGCATTTTTATAGTCAACATAAAAAGAAAGTCGAAAATATCGCATTTTAATGAAGAAAATCGAATAATTAACATAGGGGCGCTAAATACTTTCCCACCCGCTTGGAGGCTTCCCCTACCCCTGGGTGGGAATGAGTTACTTTGCGCCCGCTCTAAGTGCCTGAAATGACATACTTTCCGTGCAGGTAGGACAAAAAATATTTTTTAACTAAATAATGATTAAATATTCATTTAAAAATGAAGTTATTACCTGTTTTGCAAGTAAGGTGTTTATTTCGTAATTTACCAATCCTGACAGAGTTTCTTTCATCTCATTGCTCTGAAATAAAATTTTTTAAATTTATGAATAAACTTGTAAATTTTAATTTCTAGAAATTATATTTAAAATTTAACATTATCACATATTACCTGCTTTTCTCGATTTGACAACATGGCGCGACAATGAGAAAAAATCTTAAAGCGCTTTTGATAACTTTTAGTAAACACGCATAAAGTAGAAAATAATTGTTAGGATAATAATCCATTATTATTGAGAGGCTAGCCCATGTCGCTAAATTATAAGCATTGCAAATCATTTGCAAAAGTAAATGTATTTGATAAATTTGATTTACCTGCTTAGAGTGAATGTAAAGGCTCAAATAAATGCATCTGAAAAAAAATATTTTTTTATTGTTTAAGATTTTAGGTTTTTTTATTTACTTCCGACTCGGAAAGTAGACTTCCGAGACAGAAATATATAAATATATATTACTTACTTTATTTTTTGCAAGCAACTCTTCTTTTCTTCTGTCAAATTTTCAGACTCCAAATAAATTGTTTCTATTGACGAATGGAATTCAGAAGCAGCAGATGCATTTGTGTTGAAGAATGTTTTAACTGATCATGTAAGATAGATTCATTTGAATTTTTCTTAAAGTTCTCTATTAGCAAGTTGTTTAAGAATTTGATTTTAATAGCAATGAACCTGGTACATAAAATAAAATTAGTTTATATATGTTTATTTCTTAAATAACATGTTTCTAAAAGACTTGTAAATTATTTTCAATTTGTCGTCTGATTTTAAAATATCACAAGGATCACAAGTATAATATACGTACTTGATACTTAAGTGTATATTCAAATCTATGACTGTTGCAAAGTAGATCACCGAAAATTGAATTCCAAAAAATTCTAATTCTTCAAACATAAAAAATTCTGTCATTAAGCCTAAAACTAAAAAGGCAAATATCCATCTTAGCAGACCTTTAAAAGTTCTGCTATAATTTTCCTTGAAGCCAAGATTTCTAGTCGCATCATCCAATTCCATCATACTTTCATAAAGACCATTCAACTTCTATTTAATTTGATTAATACAAATTACAATTTTTATGGAAATTTTCCACATGCTTGAATTTCGTCTCAAAATTATTATCACGTACCTTAAAGTTAATCCAACCGTTTATGTGAGCAGCAAATATTATTATTGTGTCCGTGATGAATACTCCTTCGACAGCATACGCAAATGGGCTTGGATCTACATATTCGTGAAAAGTCTTACAAATCACCCAACAAAGAATACCTATAATAACAATAAAATGAACAATAAATTGAATAGAATAAACATAAATAATAAAACTTAATAAAGTAAAAGTGACAAAATTTATTTGTTCGCGTTCCCGAGTAAAATATATAAGCGACTTGATAATTTTGTGATGAGCTTCCAAGACATTCTTTTTGTCATAGAATATGCGTATAGCCGTATAGTCAAAAATGTAAAAAACAGTAAGAATAGTTTAGTATAAATGAAAAAAGAAAGTGTGGAGAAGCAATTAATAAATGATTATTATTTAGTAGAGCCATTTGCAGAACATACCAAAAAGTATTATCCCCGGAATGGAACGGAATTTATTATATTTCGTACCGCCTAAGGGATATCCACTGAAGCCAAATATTGACAGCCAGTTTATGAAAATCAGTGGATAAATACTTTCATGAATATTATTTGGAACCCACTTTACAATTTTCAATAATCTCTTCATTATAATAATTTTTGATGCTCTTCTTTGTTGTTCTACTATAATAGTGACAATGTAGTAAACTAAGTGAATAATTATGAAAGCTCATTTTTTATTATCTTTAAAATATATTTTGCAAATTATACGACTGCGTTCTCTTCATGCTAAACATATAATTGCAACAATTATATGACAACAACTGAATTATTTAGATTGATTTCTATCAACATTTACACGCTTATTGCGAATCCTCTCATATAAGCAAATAGTATGTCAAGTTCCTTTTTAAAATCAGCCAGATCTCTTTCTTTCTAATATCTGATATGTTATATTTATAGAAAAAATTAATCCGACTTTTTTCTCTTAATATTAAGAACTCAACTTCTCTTAAAATCTACATACTAAAAAATAGCATTTACTTTTATTTCATATATAAAATTATATTATATATTATATATTAATTATATATTAAATTATTCCAATTTCTGAATAAAAGCTTCATTTAACATTATATTAAATTTATAATCCTTTAAAATATAACAAGACTTTTGAAACGTAACTATATAATGAAAATTTAATTCTTTCTTAAAAAAATAAATAAAAAGAAAATGTTTAAGACAAAATTTTAGTTCACAGATGCAATCAATTTTAAAACTAATAGCTTTATGATTTTGATACTTTATTGACATTAGAATCATTTTATGACGACATTGTTATTTGTTATCTAACTCAATATAATAATTTATAATTATCATTTATCTTCATGAAAATGGAAATCTTTATAATTAAGGTTTAAATTTTATGGTTTTTTATTCTGAAATTAGAAATTAGTGATATAATCCATAGAGAAATTTAAATAGAAATAAATTGTAAATTATATCAAATATTGAGAAATTGGAAATAAAAAATAATGAACTGCATAAATCATTAAAAAAGATAATGGATAATTGTACAGTACGTATCGATCCTTCATATTAATAGATAATAAAAAATAAAAATTATTTGAGGTTTTTATTTTCGAATAATTGAAATTTCGTAAAATTGAGATGAAAACAAATGCGAATTTGAAAAATTGTCATAGAACTTTTTCGAAAAGTATTAAAAATAATTTGATTTAAAGAAGAATATTAGTTTAAAATTCTTGAAAATAATAATTGAATTGAAATGATGCGAAAATTGCGGTAAATTTTTATTATAATTAAAAAAAACCTATTTTTATTTTTTTTCAATCATTTCCTAATTCAATGTAGTTTTTAAGAAAACGAAACATTTTTTAAAATATAAAATTTTTATTTCTAGAACCAATCTCAAATGTCACTCACTAGGAGTGAATTGGAGTGAATCTAGCATCGCTTTTACAAAAAAAAAAATCTTTCATAATCGTCAATATTCACGTGTTCAAAAAAAAAACATAGTGAAATATAAGTAACAAACTGTATAAAACAATTTTATTTTCGTAGTTAAAAAATAATTTTGCTTAAAAATAAGACAATTATATTGTCGTTTAAACTTTTTCAAAAAGTATATATATATATAAATTAATTTATATTTAAAAATGCGGCAAAATTTAATGTACAAAAAATAAAATTTGTGCATTCATTTACAGGAGAATTTGTTTTATAATTTATTCCCTTACTTATAATTTCTGTTTTTGTTATTGTCAGTTTTCTCCTTGTTCTGTTCATTTCTTGCTTTTCTAATTCTATTTTCCATATTTTGATTATTTGCACTTTTATCCCGATTCTGATCATTTATTCTTGTCGACATAAGTCTATTTGGAATGTTTTGATTATTTTTACTTTTAGCTTGATTCTGATCATTTCTTGTCGACATAAGTCTATTTGGAATATTTTGATTATTTGCACTTTTATTTCGATTCTGATCATTTTTTGTCCTCATAAGTCTATTTTCAACGTTTTGATTATTTTCATTTTTAGCTTGATTCTGATAATTTCTTGTCCTTGTAGTTCTTTTACCCACATTTTGATTCTGATCATTTCTTGTCAATCTAATTTTATTTTCCATATTTTGATGATTATTGGCAATTTTATGCTGATTCTGATCATTTCTTGTCCATCTAATTTTATTTTCCATATTTTGATGATTATTGGCAATTTTATCTTGATTCTGATGAATTCTTGTCGTCATAAGTCTATTTACAATGCTTTGATGCTGATTACTTCTTGTCGTCATAAATCTATTTTCAATGATTTGATTATTATAAGATTGAATAGGATTCTTCGTGATGACTTTATCTGTGCAATAGGTGCGATTACAATACGTCATAAATCTATTTTCAATGATTTGATTATTATAAGATTGAATAGGATTCTTCGTGATGACTTTATCTATGCAATAGGTGCCATTACAATAGTTGATGAAATTTCTCCAGCAATCGGCGATTTGTAACACCATTGGATTGCCAATAACGATTAGCAAACACTTTGCTCGAGTGATCGTTACATTAAATCTCTGTTAATGGAATAAAATATTTTTAGAATATTATTTTAACCTTTATTTTTGAATTTCGATAAAAGATAATGTTTATCTTAAAATTATTAAATTATATGTTTAAAAGTAGGTATAGGATTAAATTTTAAAAATTGAACTTGAATAAAATGAAAAATTTTTAACCTACTCCATTTTATTTGAATTGTAATTATAAAAAATAAATTTAAAAATACGTTAAAATTAAATACCTTATCGTCATTCAAAAATCCAATGTGAGGTTTCTTTCCGTTTTTGAAAATTGCTGACCTGACTAAAGAGACAATGATAATATCTCTCTCCTGACCCTGAAAACTTTCGACAGTTCCGACAGATATTTTGGATAAATTTCTATTTTTAAGTTTCTTCATAATTATACTCTTTTGATATCGAAATGGCGTGATAATACCAATATTCCTTTGAAAAATTTGCATACCTTCCAAACCTTCATAAAGTAATTTTTCAACATAGTTCATAACAATTTCTGCCTCAACTGTGTTTGCAATGCTAAATAAATAAAAAGTATAGCGTATTAGTTTTGTATTTTTTTTCACTTTTTTGCTTCCTGATGGTAAAAGCAAAAAATTATTATATAATAAATTTATAAACATGATAATAAATTTAGTTATTTAAATTATATTTTGTAAATTAAAAAAAAATTGTATAAAGACCTATGAGACTCATTATTTTCTTCATGTCCATACGCAGGGTGAAAAATAATCGGAAATCCTTTTATCGGTAGATTTCTCCAATTTTCGGCAATTTTCACTCCATTACCGGCACATGCAATGAGTTCGCTGTCGTAATACATATGGTTTGGTAATCGAAGTATTGTTTCGTGATTTCGATAATTCTGCACGAGTTTCGTTAAAAAGTTCGGATTGTATTTATTACTATTATAATCCTTCTTGTAAAGATAACTCTTCTCCATTAAACGTTCCAACATTGAAATTCCTTAAAAGAAGATTAAATTATAGTTAAATTTTCGGGATGACGAAGTGGATGATTTAGAAAAAATAATTTTCTTAGAAAAGAAATTTTTAATTGCAAAGGACCTCAATAATTTCTATTTTACAAACCTAGTAAATGACTACCATATTTAGTCATTACAATTGGTCCCAATTGTTTCGGATCTCCAGACATTACAAGATTACATCTTCTATGTCTCCTTGAAATGGCAAATGGTATAAAAGTTTCCGGCTGAGTTGCTTGGCCAGCTTCATCGATAAAAATATAATTAAAAAAATTCTCGAAATATGTTAATCTCAAAAATCTGAAATATTAAGTATTTTTTATATTAAATATATCCTGATTTAAATATAAGTGTTAAATGATTATTTAAATTATTTAAATAAAGTATAAAATAAATTTATATGTATACCTTGCAGCTGAGATAAGTGTTGATATAATTACTTTTTTACGCCGAATAGCAGAACTTTTTAGATACTCAATACCTCCCTTTTCGAAATGCATACAAATCTTTACATCCTGCGGTATAGTATCTCTAAATAACCCTCTAAACAAGATAAAATTATTGATATTAATAATATATAATTATATAGAAAAGACTTGAATTTTTCCGGAATTACACTAGGTTGCAAAACAATGTTGATGTAGTGTTTAGTTAAAAGAAGAAATTTAAAAAAAACAAAAGCAGTCAAAGTAACATTATTATATTAGGTTAAATAGAGATATAAATATTGTCTCACCTTTCGACTGATTTACTCGTCATTCGATAAATCAAATCAGGCGAAATGTCACAATTCAATAACCTTCTTGTAACCTCATCGGCAGCAACATTGGAAGGAGTGCAGATTAGAATATTCTTGCCTCTCTCGATTAATTGACAAACCGCTTCAACAATCGTGGAAGTTTTTCCAGTTCCCGGAGGCCCGAAGACTAAATATGGCGACGGATATGATGTGCCGCCGACAATTTGTTGTACCGCTTGCACTTGCTCGGGATTTCTTGCAATGTTTTTATTAATGAATGATGTAATTAATCTGAAAAATATTTCTACTATTAATCCACTGCCTACACTGACTTATCCCCACTCTAGCGCTCTTAAATGTCATTTTTATAGTTCAAGTGTTGCTGGATTTTTGGACAATCATATGATACGTTTTCTAATCGACTACAGAGTTATCAAAGAAACCACAACGGGCAGAAATTGATGTCAGTTTTGTACCAAATGTGAGACAAAACTAAACGTCAATATCAACACTTCTGAAAAACGAAGAGGGTTTTTTTTTAAATCTGAGCTAAAGCCTTAATGAAATTGATCAAATCAGTTAAAATGGCAAAAATAATAAAATAATAAACTTTGAATGTAACAGGTCGCTGAATTCAAATCTGACGTCAAAATTAAGAAATTTAATTTGGCGGATCCAGAATGGCTGACATAATTTTTTATTTTATCCGAAATTTCATAAAACTTATAGTATACAGTAAGAAAAGCTACCATGTCAGTTCCTTAAATACTAAGTTTCATGAGATTTTAGATATAAATAAAAAAATCATATTCGCCATTTTTAATTATTGAATATGTGAACGCATTGAAGGGGTTAATATGTAATTCTCTTTTTTTATAGAATAAAATTCATTTAAAAAGCACATTTGATGCAATCGTCTTTTGTAAGTGGAACGGTTTTAAATAGAATGCGTCATACATCTTAAAAAAACAAAAGCTCTATTTGAGAAAGATTTAATATTCTTACGTACGTTTTTGGAGTATATGACAATCTCCTTGTATAAAGTTTTAATGAGCCAAGATCGCAATCAATCAAATCGATTGCATATTGACAGACTCTGGTGGGCCAATTGGAATATTCAAATTCAATGTAATACGTATCATTTTTTTGATGTTGTCTTCTGAATCTGTTAAAATATTTTAATAAAATTAGCGTTGTTTAAAAAATAAAGTTTTAATTTCTGGTTTATCAAAACCAGATGAGGGGTTAAAAATAAAATTTACAACTTACTTTTCGTAATTTTTAGGTTTTACATTAATGTACCCTGATTCTGATGATACTTTAGTTACAATAAAACTATGTTTTTCCACATCAACCTTAATCGGCTCAATCTTATCATTCTTGGATTTTCGTTTAGGAAACATTTTTATATTTTGTACTTCTATAACAGAATTTTCTGTTAAAAAGCAAAGTTCTTTATCAATTTTTTTTAGATTTATTTTAAAATGCGATTCTTCCTTTTTATAACATATTTTTACTATCTCCTTCTTTTTTACATCGTCTATAGAATTATTATCAAAACATTCTTCCAAATATAAAAGATTTCTCAAAGTAGAGAAATAATTATCATCATCAAAATCTTTTAAATTTTTTATTTTTTCTAAAAACGTTGTCCATTTATTGGCCGAATTAGCCATCATATTATTTCCATTTAAAATATTTTTTAAAATCTTAACTAGTTCCTCGGGAACAGCATATTCTGGTACAGCATCCAGTTCATCTCTTTAGAATAAAATATACAGAATTAAAAATAATTTTTAAAAATTTAATAATTTTGTAAACAATAAATTAATTTAATCCTAATTATTTCCTTTGCTTTGTTGCTTTTTTATTATTCGTGAAATTTATAATTTATTAATTTATAGTCATATAGTTATTAATTAAGAAGAACAGATTTATTATTATTACTTGTGATTTTATTATACGAAAGTTTCTCATTTATACCTTCTTAGGCGATGAAATCCCATTTTGTAAAAATTGAAATGATGATTAGTTCTCTTTTTAATAAAATAATTTAAAAAGTATTTCTCTGCTGAAATAAACGCATATTTTTAAAATTAAATATATAAAAATAAACATGTTTGTATATAACTCAAAATTCAAAAGATAAATACCATAAAAAATATAAAATAGTCTTTATTTATAAATTTGAATTCAAAATGTTAATAATATTGAAAAAGAAAATTGTAAAATGTATAAAATTTTGTTTGAAATTTTCTATCTTCAAATTTATTTTATATAAATCATAGAAATAAATAATCATTAAATAAATGGTAATAATAATAATCATAATAATAAACAATTATTTATTTTAATATAATAAATTAATTATATTATGTATTATGTATAAAATATATAAATACACTGTATATAAGCTATATATTGCAAATTTTATATATATATATATATATATAGTATATATATAGTATATAGCTTATATACAGTGTAATTTGATAATTTTTGCATGGCTCTGCTTATAATTACAAACAATAGAGCTTTAGGGTGTATGGTATGAATCATTTTACGTTGTTTTTAAAAATACATTTATAGGTAATCACGTACATTCATGATATTGTAGGTATTCTTTTACTAATCAATTTAGAAGAATATAAATTATTCTAAAAATTCTATTGTAATATTAGTTAAAAATATTAATTGTTAATTTCTAATAAATAAATAATTTAGTTCGAAAAAATTATAATCAATAACTACTTAATTTCGTTATTATTTTATTTATTTCGTTATATTAGTAGTTATTATGAAATTGAAATTTTTTAATTAATATAATAATATATTTCAATAAATTAAAAAATTTACATTTATAAGAACTTGTTATTAATTATTAAAAATAATTAAAAATTAAAACTATCTAAACTGTTCATAAACAAATTAAAATATTAAAATATAATTATAAGATTACAATTTCTTACTATTAATCATTATTATTATTATTATTATTATTATTATTATTATTAAACATATGCTAATGAGAAAAAAATAAATGATATTTTTTATTAATTTCAATTTAATGTTTTAATTATTAATTATTATTTATAAATATTTCTTTGGATATAAATAAATAAAATGAAAAATAAATATAATAATTATTAAAAATAAAATAATAAATTTTTATTTTGAATTTAATTAAATATTAAAAAAAAAATCGAAAAGAAAATTTGCTGGCACTAAATATTATTCTTCTATCTTAATTATTGCGTGTACAGTACAATAATATTATGTATGTATCTTTGTTTGTAAATAATCAAATTTGAAAATACTCACTCGATTTTGGTATTACTTTGAAAATTCAAATTTTATTTGAAAAATTCTTTAAAAATAGAGAAGCATTCATAATCTTCTATTTTAAACAATTAAATAAATATTTTTTAGATCGATATATATGTAATCCAGAAACTTTTTAAAACATTAAATAACACACACTACAAATTTACAAAAATCCTTTTTTCCAGAATAATAGAGAAAAAAAATATTCTTATCTAAATTTATATAGACAACGTCAACGAGTGAACTCGGGGAATAAAGTGAACATTTTAGCTCTTGTGCGCATTTATTTTTAAATTAGAGAAATTGACGAAATTGTGAGAAATCATACCTAGTGAATAAAAACTATATAATCTAGGGATTTTTGCTTTTTAATTTTTTGTCAATAATTATAGAAAAATTAAGAAATATTTAAGGCCAACGCAGAATAGATCTGTAACCGGAACCGCAATTGTAAGCGTAACCGTAAGAATGAGTTAAAGAAGGATTGGTATATTGTTTATCCTTCTCTAACTCATTCTTACGCTTACGGTTACGATTGCGGTTCCGGTTAGGGTGGAGTCCCATGACAGCGTTTTGCGTTGCGTCGTAATGGGAGAGAAAAAGACGCAAATATACGTTTGCTGCATTCTCTCTCATTACAACGCAACGCAAAACGCTGCCATGGGACTGCGGCCTTACAGATCTATTCTGCGTTGGCCTTTACGATGCAACGCAAAACGCTGTCATGGGACTGCGGCCTTAGAGAAGGATAAACAATATACCTATCCTTCTTATGCTGATTCTACACTTACGCAGCGCTCCGCTTTTCCGTGGCGCTTCGCGTGAGACAGAAAAAGATAGAGATAGTCCCTATCTTTTTCTATCTCACGCAAAGCGCCACGGAAAAGCGGAGCGCTGGGTAAGTGTAGAATTAACATTAACTCATTCTCACACTGTAAAAAAGACCAATGTTGAATTACAATCGGGTCGTTAATTTTAAATTTTCCAGTTTGTAATTTTACTACGGTACACGTAATAATTTAACACCCATATAGTATTTTCACAATTAAAAAGTAAAATTATTACGCTTATCGTTGTAAATGTGTCACGCGTTAGTAAATGTACATCCCGAATGTTTAATCATTTCGTGATACATTGGAAACTTTTCGCTTCACGTATAACGTTGTATGTTAGCAACCCAACCGTAAAAATATTTTCGTGTGTTAAGTAACTTACATCTGATAGTTTTACCGACAGTATGTAGAATTATGTAGCTGTCTGTAAGTATACATTCGAATATGATATTTTTTGCCCGAATGTTTTTCTACACTGCGTGACGATGAAGTGGCATATAAGAAACTATGCGCATAGGCAAACGTTAATATTTTAATTTTAATTTATTAAAATTTCGACAATTTTAAGAATTTAAAGATTAAAGGAAATTTGTAAAGGTAAGTTCAAATTCTTAACATTTTTCATTTCTTAAATTTGAAAGATTTCTTTTTAATTTTTCATATATATCAAAGTTAATAAGGTAATGTCTTTTAACCTAAAAAGAGACACGTTTTTAATGATTTTTTATACTTAAAAAATTTTATTCAACTGTGTGAATTTTCTGTATGAAAATAATTTTCAAACATAAAAAAATTTTTCAGAATATCTTCATGGACTCTATTGCTTAAGCAGCTCGTATTTTTTTAAAATTAAAGTGGAAAAAGTATCTGTTTTTCCTGTTCTGTTGGGGAATTCGTTAACTTTGTACAAATGACAAAAAAGCTACAAATGTGATTTGTATATTATAAATATTTAATATATTTATTTATTTCTTACATTTTTCCTTTATTTCCTTTTTATAATTTAACCTTTATGTAATACAAAATAAATATAAAAAAGAATAATTTTAAAATGCAGCGAAATTATTATGTAAAATTACCGACGAGTGGTCGATTTACAATTTGATGCGAAATCACATAAGAGAGGTTATGTTACGAACGGTAAGTAAGTTAACATTTGGGCTGTAATAGTACTACGTCATACGTGAAGCGAAAAGTTTCCAACGTTACACGTTGTAAATTTACATTGGGCTTTTTTACAGTGCACGGTTACGCTTGCGGTTGGTTAAAGATTCTATTCTGCGTTGGCCTTTATGTTTCTTGGTATCACCTTTATCTCTACCTATATATATTCTTTTCTTTCTTATTTTCGATACTTTTTATGCGTTGTTTTTTAGAAATTTTTAGAAATTGCTTTGATCGCTTTCATATTATAATAATTCTATAATAATTATTCAGTGAAATGAGAACTATATTTATTATCTATTCTATTATCGAAAAAGAAATAGATTGAAATAAAAAGGTATGTTAAAAGCAACATAATATTATGATTTTTTTAACGGAGTGTATTCAGCCAGTCAACTGTCAAAATAAGTGCCAGTGAATTAAAAAAAAGTTAAAAAAATAACAACTTAATATATATGAAGTAGAGACAATTTAACAAAAAGGTGAAAAAGTAAAATCAGGAAAATGACAGAAAACAAATTTTTTTGGCAAGTCTGGCAGGTAAATTAAGAAAATTGAGCCATTTTTCGATTTATGTATTTTCAAAAATTGCGATTTTTCGACTTTTCTTCCAAATATTGCAACAAAATACCACATATTTTAGTATAAAAAATGCAAAATATTATTTTCAGTTTATAGTGCGAAAAATAACTATAAAAAATTTTTCAAAAATTATTCTTGAATTATTTTTTAAAATAATTGAAATTTTGTAAGAATTTAATTGAAAACAATTATTTTTTTTTCAAGTATTTTGTTAAAATTTTTGAAAATCAACTTTTGAAGAATTTTCATTGTAAAATTTTGAAAATAATTGAATTATCAAAAATTGCTTCTAATTTATATAAAATTCAATATTTTCAATTACATATTACCGAAAATTCAGATATAATATTATATACAAAAAGTTATAATATTTTAGAATTATTTTAAATATTTTTGAAGAAAAAAATCATGTTTAAAATTTTTAATTAAAATTCCTCAAGAAATTAATTAGTTTTTTTTAAATTATACAAAAATTCTTTTAAGAAATTCAATTATTTTCGAAAAATTACATTAAAATATTTTAAAAAACTAATTCTTAGAAATTGTTTTATCATTAATTTTTTAAGATTCAATTATTTTCGAATAAAATAAATAAAAATTGATAAAAATGTATTGTTTTAGATTTTTTTTTTAAATTTCGGAGAAATCATGCGGTCATATTTATAAATAAAATTCTTCAAAATTTCAATTATTTTTATTTACTTTTTTCAAAACTTCAATTATTTTTTGACGATTTTACCAAATTTTAATTGTTTGGAAATGTTTTAATTGTATATAATTAAATTTATTTATGTTTAAGTTTACGGAACAAAATTGGAGGTAATTAACGCTATTATTTTCTTTTTGGTTTAAATATAGGTAAACGTAGGTTTCAATACGTTAAAAAAAACTAAGACAATTAATTTTAATAAAGAATTAAGTTTTGATGAGATGTGAAATTATTTGAAATTGTAACATTGTATGATTTTAGATACGTAAAATATTATCTTTTTTCTTACAGATATTTAAATCTTCAATAAACAATTTCATAGATACTATAAAAGGAATGTATTCTCAAGAGAATAAGATGGACACTCCACTGTATAAAGCAGTCCATTCTGGCGATTTCGACCTAGTTCAATCTTTGATTGACGACATATCCCTAGATGAAAGAATTAAAAAGAGATCATTAATGCACACAGCGGCAGCAAGAGGACACGCGGAAATTATTAACTTACTTGTCGAGCAAAATTTTCCTTTCAACGAAAGAGATGAAGCGGGCAACACTCCTTTACATCTAGCGATAAGTTTCAATCATCTAAGTGTGTTTGAGGTACTTGTTCAAAAATGTGATTTAAACGCAACAAATTTTAAAGGCGAAACTCCCCTTCTTCTTGCCACAATGAAGAAACAAATTCAATTAGTAGAGAAACTTGTGACCAATGGTGCCGATGTCAACATACAGGATAACGAAGAAAAAACGCCACTTTACATTGCCACGTCCACAAATAATATTGAACTTGTCGAAGTACTTTTAAAAAATGGTGCTGCACTATCTGAAGCAAATAGACAAAATAAAGATCTTAAATTAATGTTTAAACCACTTTTTAAAGCTGTTGCAAATAGGAATTTCAAAATTATTAAATTACTAATGCTCCATGGGATTCACGCAATTGATGTTTCATATTGTTATGAAACTTCCTTATCCATTGCTGTTGTACAAAATAATTTAGAAATCTTGAAATATTTAGTGGATCACGGCTCAATAAGTATGCCAGAAACGGAAGAATTTAGAATATATCCAATATGCAGAAGAGAATTCCGTAATTTTTTACATTCACAAATATTACTTGAATTGTCACTTGATTGCGGACATCTGGAAATATGGAAATACCTATTAAAATGCAGTTCAAAAATTGATGCTTCAGGTAATTCTAAGCTTCATTCAGCAGTGCGAGAGGGTCAAGTGGCAACTGTTAAGGAGATCATAAAACAAGAAGCTTTTAATTTTCATAAAGACTCTATTGCTAACAGATTAGCCGTTTACGTTGCAGTGGAAAATGGAAATGAAGAAATTTTGAAAATCCTTCTGAATGCCGGTTATTCTTTTCAAATTTTCAAAAATAGAAGTCCTCTCCACGTTGCTGCAACTTTCAATCACACAAGACTAGTCGAAATGCTATTAAACGCCGGTGGTGATTTAAATTTAAAGACCGATGACGGTGAGACTTTGTTACATTTCGCAGCAGCAGCTGGACAACCAACGATGGTTAAATTTCTTCTTAAAGCTGGTATTGATATTAAGGCTGCTACTAAATATAAATATAAATCAGCATTGCATTATGCACTACGAAGAGATAATGAGAATGAAGAGTATTGGACTTTTACACCTAATGAGTATCAAAACATCTTGAACATTGTGAAAATGTTAGTTCCCAAAATTAGTAAATATCTTGAAATCTACGATTTTAATAAATATTTATTACATATAAATAAAATAAGAGTGTCCGAACAAAAGCCTTCAGCTAGTTCAAAGATACATGAAGAAACGTTGAATTGCAACCAAATACATAAAGTATTTGAGAAGAATACAAAGAATCAAGAATTTAGAACTGAAATTCTTCTGTACTGCCTTAATTACATGAATCATAGTCAAATCCAAGTATTTTTAAAATTGGCAACTGAATATTCTCATTGTCTTTCTTCTGATTTCATACACACTATTTTTGAATACAATGACTATAAACTGACCTTGAATGATATTAGTTACTTGAATACAACAGATTATAACAGTTATTTACTTATACTGTGGCAGATGAGAAGTTCTGACATGTTTTATAATTTCCATAACTTAGTGATATATAGAACAGAATTTTTAAAAGAACAAAAATTTAAAAACGATTCTCTTGATCGTTTAAAATTGCTTGCTGCACATTTAGTTTTGATATCCAATAATTCTTATTCAGACGATGAAGTCGAATTTTTCAACAATTTAGGAATTGAATGGCGCAGCGAATGTGAGCAGCAAATAGAAAACATGAAAAAAATAGAAGTGGTCAGTGACTGTAAGATAACTTTCTACGACGTTTTAACAAAACCAGTGAATAAACTTGCGATTTACGTAAAAGACGAGCATTTCCTGCACAAGCTAGAATCATCCTACAAGCGATTTTCAGCTTATGCTGAATTTTTAAAGTTAAATGTCGAGATTGGTAAACGTAGAAGAGACTTAATTGAAGATTGCATGAATTTGATGTTTAATCTGATTGAGAGAAATTATAAAATTCAATTTACAACTATAGACATCCTTAAGATTTTTCAATATCTTTCAGCAGCTGATCTACATCGATTATTAGCTGCATTTTCATAATCATGTCTTAACTGTTAGAAAGCCAGTTTTTTTCCATTGAATGGAAATTCCATTTTTTTTTCAAGTGAAATAACTTAACAATCTGTATAATATTATTATAATTTACATGTTGTATCTACAACTTAACAGCTTTTTAGATGATTTTTTAAAAATAAAAGATAAAGAAAACGTTGTTTATTTTAGTTGTAAGATAACTATGTTCTTCGATTATAAAAATAAAATATAATCCTTTCGATTTATTTAAAATTAATTCTACAAAAATTGTTCCTTATCTTCCTTTTTCGAAACGAAGTCCTGATAAAAGCGAGAAATAGAGAATGTAATTAAATTTCCAGAAAATCTGCTAACGAAGCTTTCTTAATTCTTCTGAATAGGCGAATTTACCTTATTCGAGCTCCTTCTATTCCACGGTTCGGAAAAATCAATTCTTCTCGATTGCAGGACATGCATGAAAAATTTAGGACAAATATGAAATATTATTAGTTTTAAATTCATTTACTTGTCACTCATATAGAATATATAATAATAAATTGAACTTAACAAGAATAGAAATAAAAAAAGGTTATTAAAAAGTATTAAACATTAGTAGTAACTATTCAAAATTTAAGATGGCGGATCCAATATGGCGTCGATTATTTAAAAATTCACTCAATTCGCCTGAAACTTGTTACTCGGGGGTTTTTGCTGTCGCTGAATATGAATTTCACCTTAGTTTTAAAAAATTAAAAATGGCGGATCGAATATGGCTGACTTATTTTTTAAAAATTTATATCGAATTTAGATGAAACTTTATATACTCGTGGGTTTTTAGGGATGTTGAATACGAACTTATTAAAACTAAAGTGAAATTTGTATTCATCGACCCCAAAAAAACTCCGAGTTTAGCGTGCCAGGTAAACCCGATAAATTTTTAAAAAATTCATCAGCCATATTTAATCCGCCATTTTGAATTTTTTAAAATTAAGGTGAAATTTGTATTCAGCGACAGCAAAAACCCCCGAGTAACAAGTTTCAGGGGCGAATTGTTTGAATTTTTAAATAATCGACGCCATATTGGATCCGCCATCTTAAATTTGGAATATTTACGAATTTCCTGGACTGATTAACATTATATAATAATTTTTCAGTGTGTTAAAGTTGTTTTTTGATAGAATCTTCTATGCTTATTTTTATTTATATATATCGTGTTTACAGTCAGTTTTTGCGAATTTTATTAACCCCTTGAAAAGAATTAACAAAATTCAAATATTTTTATAAATAATATTTTTCGGAAGAATTCAATTACTTTTATTAAATAGACAATTTTTTTTTTTGCAAAAATTCAGTTACTTTCAACAAAATTTTAATAACATTTCACGAAAGAATTTAATTTTTTTCTTAATTCCTTTTTAAAAAATTTCAACTGAAATCAATTATTTCCTAAAATTTTAATAAATGCTTTGAAAAAAATTCAATTTTATAAATTTAGTAAAATTCTTTGCAAAAATTCAATTATTTTCAAAAAAAAAAAAATTAACGAAAGAATTCAATTTTTTTCTTCATTTTGTTATAAAATTTTTCAAAAGAATTCAATTACAGGTATTTTCTATTAATAAAATTCAATTATTTTTCAAAATTTTTAATTAAAATTAATAAAGAAACTCCATAATATTTAAAACAAAAATATAAAGAAATTCTTCAAAAAAAAAAAAAAATTAATTAGGATTTTCAAAAATTTTAACAAAATTTATTATTGCGAAAATTTAATTATTTTCATAAATAATAAAACTCATCGAAGAATTTCAAAAATTCTTATTCTTATTTTTAAAAGTATTAAATTTATTCTTGGAAATTCAATTATTTAAAAAAATTCTAATAAAATCGTTCGCAAGAATTCAATTATTTTCAAAACAATTTAATAAAATGCAACACTAACATTCAATTTTTCTCAAAAATTTTAATATAGAATACTTTGTAAACTTTATAATTATTTTTAAAAACTTTTCGCAATTCAATGATTTTCAATATCTACTATTTTCATAAAATTTCCAACCAGAATTCAATTATTTAAAATTTTTTTTGTAAAAATCTTCGTAAGAATTCAATTATTTTTATAAATATTTAAATTCTTTAATGAATAATTAAAATTCGTCGCAGGAATTTAATTTATTAGCATCAGGATAAGAAAGAAGTAAATATTTTTAATGAAAATTAGGAAAAAGTCAGGAGAATAAAATATAGAATTGGAATTTTTGTCACTTTTTTTTTAGCTTGAAAGCTACGTTTTGATACTTTTTTAAAATTAATTATCGAGTGCGAAGTCTGATATTATATGTTTATATAATTTTTAAATATGTAAGATAAATGCAAGATAGCTCCATCTATTTTCGTTTCCATTTGGAGTGTGAGGTGTGCTCTCTATGTTCTTTTTTATTCTTTATGCTCATTTCTAATTTTCCGCATGTGCGTGAAATGAACTAAATTTATTGTCTATTCCTCTATTATCGAAAAAGAATTAGATTAAAATAAAAAGGTATGTCAAATAAGCAACATAATTATTATGATTATCTAACCTAAAAAAATGTATAAAGTTATATAGAATAATTGCTTCTTAAAATATATATTTTTTATTTAAATTTAAAGTTTATAGTTTGCGTCTTCTGATCAATAATTTAAGTAATTTAAGTAATAATAATAATTTAAGTAATTAATACAGAAATGGAATTATTTATTCTTTATTATGATTTTTTCAGATTTACGATATTTTTGCATTGACATTTAAACATTCTCCATATTATTTCTTTGTCAAAGACGTTCCTATTTTTATAATGAAAAAAATAGCTAAATTTATTATTTTTCCTCAAAGCACTTTTATTCGGCATATGACAAACATAACCTATGCGATTTTGTTTACTTTTTATAAAAATTATAAATACATTTTTTAAATTAATATGAAAAATAAATTTTTTACACGAATACATTCGGACAAGTGGTTTTTTATTACAAAAATTATTCCAACGTTTCGAAATAAAAAAATTTTGAAATCAAATCTTCGTTTCGAAGAGGAAATCGTATTGATTTCGAAACGTTGGAGTAATTTTTGTAATAAAAAACCACTTGTCCGAATGTATTCGTGTAAAAAATTTATTTTACCTATTAATTGAAAAAACAACTCGGACGTAAAAGCTTTTTTGAATACTTTTTTTTAATATATAATCTACTAGTGGTAGAAAATGTAACATTATATGATTTTAGATACTACGTAAAATATTAACTTTTTTATTACAGATATTTAAATCTTCAATATAAACAATTTCATCTATGTATAAAGAATGTCTTCTGATGAAGAGGATTTTCAAGGCTTCGATTATGTTGATAATGATGACTATAGTGACTATGAAGACTATGAACTGGATGAAGTCGGCAAATACGATTTACCCGCGCTGAACACTTCACTGTACAAAGCTGTCCATTCTGGCGATTTGGAACTTGTTCTCTCTTTAATTGGCGACATTTCCGAAGAGGAGAGAAACAAAGTACCGTATTTAATGCACACAGCGGCAGCAAGAGGACACGCGAAAATTGTTACCTTACTTGTCGAGCTCAATTTCCCTTTCAACGAAGGAGATGAAGAGGGGAATACTCCTTTGCATTTAACGATAAGTTACAATCATCCTGAAGTGTTTGATGTACTTGTGCAGAAAAGTGATTTGAATGCAAAAAATTTTAAAGGCGAAAGTCCTCTTCATCTTGCAGTAGATAATGATCACATCCGATTTGCAGAAATTCTCTTAGCAAATGGTGCAAATGTTAATATTCAAGATGAATCTGAAAAAACGCCACTTTGCATTGCCACGTGCAGAAATAATATTCAACTTGTCGAAATTCTTTTAAAAAATGGTGCTGGACTATCTGAAGCAAATAAAGAAGCTAAGGATCTTCAATTAATGTTTAAACCTCTTTTTAATGCTGTTCAAAATAACAATTTAAAAATGGTGAAGTTATTAATGCAAAACGGATTTATCGCAATTGATGTTCAATATGATGTCGATACTTCCTTATCTTGTGCTGAACAACAAAATAATATTAAAATGGTGAAATGTTTGTCGGAACTCAGATCAATAGCAATGCCAGAAACCAAAGAATTTTTAAATTCTCAAATACTACTTCAATATTCACTTTGTGTCGGACATTTGAATATATGGAAATACCTATTAAAATGCAGTTCAAAAATTGATGCTTCAGGTAATTCTAAGCTTCATTTAGCAGTGCGAGAGGGTCAAGTGGAAACTGTTGAGGAGATCATAAAACAAGAAGCTTTGAATTTTGATAAAAACTCTATTGCTAATAGATTAGCCGTTTACGTTGCAGTGGAAAATGGAAATGAAGAAATTTTGAAAATCCTTCTGAATGCCGGTTATTCTTTTGAAATTTTCAAAAATAGAAGTCCTCTCCACGTTGCTGCAACTTTCAATCACACAAGACTAGTCGAGATGCTATTGAACGTCGGTGGTGATTTAAATTTAAAGACCGATGATGGAGAGACTTTGTTACATTTCGCAGCAACTGCAGGACAACCAACAGTTGTCAAATTTCTTCTTAAAGCTGGTATTGATATTAATGATGCTACTAAATCTAAATGGAAATCAGCATTACAATATGCACTACAAAGAGGACCTGAGAATGAAGAATATTGGACTCTTACCCCTTTTGAGTATCAAACCACCTTGAACATTGTGAAAATGTTAATTCCCAAGATTGAAGATCATAAAATCGACGATTTGAAGAAATATTTATTATATGTAAGTAAAATTAGAGTTTCTGAAGAAAAGTCTATATCTAGTTCAAAGGTGCATGAAGAAACGTTGAATTGCGACCAAGTAGATAAAGTATTTGGGGAGAATGCAAAGAATCATAAATTTAGAAATGAAATCCTTTTGTGCTGTCTTAATTACATGAATAATACTGAAATGAAATTAGTTTCAGAAACAATATTGAAAAAGTCTAGTCTTCCTTCTGATTTCATTCACACTATTTTTGAATACAATGATTATAAGTTGTGCTTGAATGGTATTTTTTACTTGAATAGAATAGATTATAGAAGTTATTTAATTATACTGTGTCACTCAAGTAGGTATTCCGACGCGACGAATTCTAAAATTAAAAACTTACTTTGTAATGATACATTTAAAAACGATTCTTTTGATCGTTTACAATTGTTCGCTGCACGTTTAGTTCTAATATCTGATACTTTTTATTCAAATGAGGTACACTATTTTTTTATGTATTTTCAACTATTGGATTGGCGTAACGAATGTGAGCAACAAATAAAAGAGATGAAGAAAGCAGAAGTGGGCAGTGACTGGAAGATAACTTTCTACGACGTTTTAACAAAACCAGTGAATAAACTTGCATTTTATGTTAAAAATGATCAGTTCTTGCAAATGATAGAATCATCTTTTGATCGATTTCCAGCATATGCTGAATTTTTAAAGTTAAATGTCGAGAAGGGTAAACGAAAAAGAGACTTAATTGATGATTGCATGAATTTTATGCTTAATCTGATTCAGAGAAATTATAAAATTCACTTTACAACAACAGACATCCTTAAGATTTTTGAATATTTTTCATCAGCTGATCTGCATCGTTTATTAGCAGCATTTTCGTAATTATGTCTCAACTGTTAAAAACACAGTTTTTTTTCATGTACTTACGTATGTTCTTCCACTTTCGAAGAAATTTAGTTTTTAATACTAAGTTACTTAATTTTTTCATTTTCACTAATTTTAATCTTACACTGTGTAAATGTTATGTAATGTTAACAAATGCATTTAACAATCGATAACTCATACTTCTACTTATTGTTCATGGTATTAATAAAAAACTAAGATTCGAATAAAATAATACATCAAACAACAATAACATTCTTCAATTTTTCTGGAATCTGTTAGTAATCAAAGCCAAAAAGTGAAGACAAACGTTATTTACACAGACATGACAGAATTGCAAAAAAAAGTTCTTATTTTGTTTAATTAAAATTTGTTTGTAAGCTTAATCCCAATATATAGAAAATATCTACTGCTTTGATTCGAAAATATTATTTGTATGAATAATTATGTTTAATTCAAAAATATTTTCTGTTTTGATTTAAACAAAAATTATGTTTAAAAATTATATGTTTCATTCAGACTTAAAAGTTGATTATAAATAATTTAAAAACAACCAAAACTTATGTTTAAATTAAATACATTATTTCTTTAAATGAACCAAAAAATATGTTTCAATTAAACTTAAATATGTTTTTAAAAAATATTGATCGAGGTAGTTTTCTTTACAAAGTGAGCCAGACATTTTTTTCAACTTATCTAATTATAATTTAAAAATCAATACAAGGTCACTTAAAAAATTATTGATTTACAATATTTTCATAATAGGTAAACAGTGTATTTTGTTTTGTTAAAGAAGGTTTCAATATTATTCTTAAAAATAATCTTTTCAACTACAAATATGAGAGTTCAAATGCATACAGAGAAAGGAATGTCGATTACAATTAAAATTTAATAATTACATAAATAATTTTAACAGGAGCACGATTTAAATATTATTTTCCTGTTTGTTAACCTTCGTGCTACCAGGGGCTACTCGGAGTAGCCAGCACTATAAACCTTGTAATGTCTATACAAGTTTGTACTATTTTCCCACACAGCATCGAAACTTTTCTAAAAGTTGAAATTACCATGACTGCAATTTTCGGAATTTTTAGTTACAAGCTTCTTTAAAATTCAAGTAATTCTTTAAATTTCGACTGTTTTTCAATGTTTGACGCGAAAGTTGACTGAACATTGCATGAAAGTTTAAGATTTCTTAAACTCTCAAGCAATGTTTAGTCAACTTATGATATGATTAAAATTATACGATAAATTTAAAATCATTATATGTGAAGGGATTGAAAAATTTAAATCTTTTTTGCAATATATACCGATACCTCCGTGCAAAAAGAACCACTCTCAAGTTGCACCTCTAAAGCAACCGAACTGCATTTTTTAAGAAACCTCACAATATTTTCCTTAATTCATTTTTTATTTAGAAAACAAGACTTTTGTAATAAAATAATAATCATTTACACTTAATTAATATTAGCTGATTATAAATAGTGTGATTAGATTTCATTTCAAATGATAGACTGTAAATAAAAAATGTATAAAACAAAATATGACAAGGTAAGGAGCAAAAAAAAGTTCAGTTGTTTTAGAGGTGCAACGTGAGAGTTGTTTTTTGCACGGAGTTATCGACACTTATTGTGCATGGTATACATGATAAAAATTAAGATTCCAAAGAAATAATATGTCAAACAACAATAACATTCTTTAATTTTTCAGGAATCTGTCAGTAATCAAAGCCAAGAAGAATAGACAAAGGTTATTTAAATACACATGACATGATTGAAAATAAAGTTCCTAATAAGAATACCTCTCTGTAATATTTTATTTCATACATTTACAGCAAGTACGACAAGATGCATCGACTCTACGTCGATTGATGACGCTCATTATTTCCATCATAAAAGTTAATGTTGCGGCGGAGTATCCAATAACCAGCAAATAAAGGAGAATCATAAGTAGTTTCTCCTTACTGATTTCTTCCGGAGCCGAAGGTTTATTTTGCTGTTTATCATTTGCGTTCAGAAGAAACGATAGTAATCCATGTTCTGATGCTTTGAGTATTACTTCATTAAAGCGATCAAGAAAAGGAGATCCAGCTCTTGCTAACCAGCTCTTAAAAAAATATGTCACGGGTTCATGTAGTATTCTGCCGCTGAATTTTGATTGCTTCTTGAATTCATTTATAATTTTATCAGTTGTAATACAAGTTACATTTGCATATTTCGTTAAGTAAGCCAAACATTCATTATCTGTATTCACAATAGAGTTATTAGCTGCCTTTGTGCCTAGTTTTCGAATGTAACTAATAGGACTTTCAAGCATTGACTTTATTGATAAAGGAGATCCTAACGGCGTTAGAGACGAGTTGGCAAGTTCTTCGAGATTTGAAATTTGAGGCTCGGCTTGCAAAGAGATGTCCAAGATCACTGAGTACAAGTAACCTGAGTAGACAATGCAACTCAACAAGAATATTCCAAAAACTATTCTCTCCACTGTCTTCGCAGGTTCTCTGGTGACAGACATGCCCATTATAATTCGACTGATGTTGAACAATTGCCAAGTTGTCTTGTTGAATTTTAAAATCCAAGCCGTGATTCCAATAGTTACAACTACAACCGTGGTTGCAAGTAACATGAACATGAATTCCTTTGAAATCACGATTACTTTAGTGAGCTTTGAAGTTACAGGGATCACAGCCTTTGCAATTGAAAAATCCACAATACGTATTAGTGGATTTTTTGAATAAAGACTTCCTGAAGTTTGACTGATTATAAGATTTAAAAACATTTCTACTTTGTTACGGTAGATGATCTTAAAAAATATATCCTTGTTCAAAAATGCAATTTCTTGAATCCTAACAGAACAGTGCATTGTTTTTGAAAATATGTTCACAAATCGAAAATGGGATTTATGTTTCAATAAGCTGTCATCTTTCTGAAAACTAAAACCGAATTTTATTTGATGTCCATGGAGGTTAAGAAGTTTGTTTGGAAACCATTTGGTCTTGGTTGATACTTTATTAGCTTTGTAAGTTTTCGCAAAAAGATTGATTTTATGCAAAATAGGCAGTCTACCTGCTCCTAATGCCAAGAATGTTTTGTTTTCTGTCAAGTGCTCCAAAACTGCAATGTCTAGAAAATCATGGGACCAAAAATATTCTAGAATTGGCTTTATCGATTGAGATTCTTTTTGAGAAATGATGTTAATCAAACATTTTGGATACGAATGTCCCTGCGACAATAGTTTCAGTTGCTTGAGTGTATATTGCACATATGCCCAAATGCCGCCATAATCGCCATTGAGAATCATAATGAATAACGTCGTTCGTCTTGGTGGTCGTGCAGAAGGTGGAAAGTGTTTGTGTAGACTTTTGTTCAGTTTAGAGAAACTAGTACTGAACGATGGAAAATGGTGAGAAACATCTCTGATCAGAAGGTCGGCGCTTGAACTTGAATTTTGTGGTAAGTGATCATCAATGATAAACATTACCTGATGTAGTCTCGACTCCCTTCTTAGGTACTTTATTAATCCTCGAGTATAATTGCCGTCGCCTGCCACTCCAAGCATGACCACACCGAATAATGCTAAACAGAAACTAAGGGTTATACACTTCATTATTATTTTTTACCTAACAATGACCAAAAACTTTTTTATTTAAAGGGTATATAAATATCATTTATTCGATACTCCTTTTGTAACTTAACTCTATTTCAACCGAGACTTGAATAAGCTCAAGGTATGAAGCGTTATGAAGTTAAATTTGAAAAACGATAAAATTTGTAGTACAAAATTTAAAAGGAGATTAAAAAATTCCCTTCGAAATTGTTAGAAAAAATTTTAAATATATGCTTTTTACTGCTGAAAATTGCAGGTTTGTATATATTTTTCTACTCTTTTACTAGGAAAATATTTTTCTAAGAAGGAAAACGAATTTTTAATAGCGGAAATATGAAAATTTGGAATTTTTCAATAGTGTATTAGTGGTGTTCATATACAAGGAAAATTATTGCTTGTTTCTGAGGTGGGTCACCATACATAGTTGCGACTTCCCTTCTGATGAAGGAAAGAAAATGTCCATGAACCTTAGAATCAATATTTTGTAAAAGTATCTTTTTCAAATGGAAATTTTTTTGCGTTTAATTTTCGAGAGATTGGATTATATTTTAAAATTATTACCATTTATTAACAGTCTACTTTATACAACATTCTTATTTTAATACCTTACATATTCCTTTTAATTTTAAATTAAAAAATCATAAAATGGAATGCTAAATTGAAACAAATAAGTCACTTTGCGTATTGAAACAAACTAATTGAGTTTAGTTAATTTATAAACCACATTACCCAGTATTTTTATGTGACTAACATGACCACATATAAAAATATGTATTTTGCCAGTGCGGAAGATATTTTGCAATAGGATCGGCAATTATCCTGGCGAAAGGCACTGTTCTTGATATTGCACTTAGTAAAGAATAAATCTTAATACGACTGTATTTATCGTAAAATGGTGATCGCAGTAAGTAGAGTAGTAATCCTATTCTTCTGCGGCAAATTTCCTCTTTCTCGTTTCTATTAAACATTGCAGTTTTAGCCTCCTGACTAAAAATTTTCAGGCTACAATACAAAATACAAACTTTTTAAATAAAGATATTATTAAATTTTTAATACTACGCTAAAATTTGCTGAATGAAAAAAGGTAATATGACCCCAAAGGTAGATTTTTCAAGGTGTCTAGAGAAGTGTTCCAATCTTTAAAGTTTCACTTCTTTTGATTAATTTTTGCGCTGAGCACAAAAACTTTTAATTTTTAATAAAAATAGGATTGACACTCCTAAAAATTTGTAGTTAAATTCTCTGTCCGATTCTTGAATTCATTACTACCAAAAAAACATGAATTACTAGACACCTTAAATATTAAAAGATTTTCTGACCTACCTTGCGAGATCAACGGCAAAAGACAAGAGCCAAGGGTGCCAGTGTCTTTGTCCCTTCATTGATAAATATCCAAGATGTAAAAGTGGTTTTACAACATAAAGAGTCTGAAATTAATGAAATTTAAATAAATTAACAACCCAACCAATAGTAGACAAAAATGTTATAATTAACTACAAACTTCGGCAAGAATCAATTTCTTTCTAGACGATGAATTGCACTGTAGACTTGTTGTTTCTCCATTATCAGAAGAAATTGGTCCAGTGATCGGTGACCACGTGCGATGTCGCGTTGAATTACTGTTTCTAATACTTCGGACAAATGCTCCAGAACGCTTTAAACAAAATCCCTCATCTTCATCACAACTATTTGCGTTATCAACATCACGAAATTTTTCTCTATTAAGAGGAGGAATCGCTGGTGTATTTGTTACTCGTTCCTTGTAACGAAAAATCAAAAGCAACCTCAGAGCTGATCTTTAAATTTGCAAAAATTAATCAATTAACATAAGAATGATGACGATGATAAATAGAAATAATAATTTTGAATAAAGTGTTATATTTACTTTAGACTTTGTATTAAGAAAATAACAAGCCATCTTCCCCCTTCACCCAATAATCGTTTTGCTGAAACCTCTAAAAGTGCCTCAGTGTAATCGACAACAGTCAACCAAATTTTTATTCTCGATTGTGATTCTGGTAATTTGTTTTCTTTACATTTACTACTATAAATGAGTCGATCGTTGAGAAGAACTAATAAATTTGGCAGCGAATATATTAATTCCGACACTAATGATGTATTATGAAAACGTCCTGAAATGTGATTTATTAAAAATTTATTAAAATTCTATTGCGGAATATTATAAAAGAATGTTCAACTTATAAATGACACTAGGAAACTGACGGACTCCGATTTTTTTTAAACAAAGAGGCGCTGATTTTTAATCTGTGATGAGTTTTTAAAAATTCAAAATTGTGGATCCAATATGGCAGTTTAATTTTTTTAAAAAAATTTTAATTTTTTGATAATTTGTTTCTAAGAAGATGGAATTTTATAAATCTCTGTATCAAAAAGTTTTTGAGGCCGTTGAATACGAATCTAAAATTAAAAATGGCGGGTCTAATGTGCTGATTTAATTTTTAAAAAAACTTTAATTTTTTTGAAAATTAGTTTTTAAAATGAGTAAATTTAATGATTCTTTGTATCAAAGATTCATTAGATTCCATCATTTTCAAATTAAAAAACATCATTAAAACAGTTAAAAATTTTGTTAATTAAACTACCATATTGGATCCGACATTTTGAATTTTATAAAACAGACTTTAGATTCGTAATCACAGACCTCGAAAATCTTTTGATACAAAGATTTATAGAACCATCTTTTTAGAACGAAATTATCATAAAATTAAACTGCCATATTGGATCCGCCATTTAAAATTTTTGAAAAAATCGGTGTTCATCAGTTCCCTTATGTTCACTGTAAAAAAATCTGGTGTAAAATAAGAGACGCATGCTTATTCCCGAAATCTTTTTTGACAAGATAGGTATTTGATATAAAACTACTTAACTTAAAATTCACATAATATGCACGTTATTTGACATAAATTTCATTGTTCACAAAAACCATTTAACATAAATATCATTTGTCATAGAATTCATTAAACAGAAATATTATGTTACATAAAACTTAGATAACTTAATTCCCATTTGACATAAAAATTATGTGACATAAATTTCAATTGACATAAAAATCATTTAACATAAATTTCTTTTGACATAAAATTCATTTAACGTAAATTTTATTTCTTATGAAATTCATTTGACATCAATTTCATTTGGCATAAATGTCATTTAACGTAATTCTCATTTGACATAAATATCATTAGACATAAAATTAGCTTGACATAAATTGCATTTGACGTGAATATCATTTAACATAATAATTATTTGACGTAAAATTAAATTTATATAAATTTCATTTAGCATAAATTCCATTTAACATAATTCTCATTTGGCATAAAATTTACTTGACATAAATTTCATTTGGTATAAATCCCATTTAACATAATTTTCATTTGACATAAAGTTCACTTGATATAAATTTCATTTGACGGATAACTCATTACACATAATTCTCATTTGACATAAAATTCAGTTGTCATAGATTTTATTTTACATACAGATCATTTGACATGGAAATATAGGCGCGAATTTCAAAATTGGCGAATCACAATGTTGTTGATAATATCTAATTGGTTACTTTTAAAATTCGCGCCGATATTGTTATGTAAAATGTAATTTGTGTAAAATGATTTTTATGTCAAATGAGAATTTTGTTGAATGACTTTTATGACAAATGAGAATTGTGTTAAATGTCTTTTATGTCAAATGAACTTTATGTCAAATGAAAATTATGTTAAATGGGATTTATACCAAATGAAATTTATGTCAAGTAAATTTTATGCCAAATGAGAATTATGTTAAATGGAATTTATGCTAAATGAAATTTATATAAATTTAATTTTACGTCAAATAATTATTATGTTAAATGATATTTACGTCAAATGAAATTTATGTCAAGCTAATTTTATGTCTAATGATATTTATGTCAAATGAGAATTACGTTAAGTGACATTTATGCCAAATGTAATTGATGTCAAATGAATTTTATAACAAATAAAATTTACGTTAAATGAATTTTATGTCAAAAGAAATTTATGTTAAATGATTTTTATGTCAATAGAAATTTATGTTACATAATTTTTATGTCAAATGGGAATTAAGTTACCTGAGTTTTATGTAACATAATATTTCTGTTTAATGAATTCTATGACAAATGATATTTATGTTAAATGGTTTTTGTGTGCAATGAAATTTATGTCAAATAATGTGCACATTATGTGAATTTTAAGTTAAGTAGTTTTATATCAAATAACTATTTGGTCAAAAAAGATTTCGGGAATAAGCATGCGTCTCTAAAATAACACGAAACTTGTAATTTCACACATCAAAATTATAGGTTGTACGTAGTAAATTTATTTCGTTCCAAAAGTAGTTTTACTATTTTTAATAATTTTACATTATACGACTATGTAATTTAATAGTTTCGTGTAAATTTACTACGTCCGACGTAGGAAAATTTGATCACTATGTCCGACGTGGTATTTTTACATTGCGTGTATTTCTACACTTTGACGTAATATTACGTCGCACGATCTGTACAATTACATGGCGAATGTAATTTTCTTATTCCTTTAAAATTTTCAAAAAATTTTCAAGTTTTTATAAATAACTCTAAAAAAGTGTATATAATGTACATTTATAGAAAGTTTATGCTAATTTATAAGTAAATAATAATATTACAAAAAGTTTGGGCTATATTTCATAAATACAAAAAGTTACGACTGAAAATATTATTTCAAAAAATATTTGCAGGTTATGTAGATTACAGTCGGCGTGTAAAAATACCACGTCGGACATAGTGACCAAACTTTCCAACGTCGGACATAGTAAATTTACACCAGATTTTTTTACAGTGTTTACTCGTTTGTATTTATAGAAAATTGTTTAAATTACTTTAAGAGCGTTCGATGGTCTCTGAAATTTGTAGGTTATGTGCGACTTACACTTTTCGCCTAACAAATACGGCACTGCCTGGTTTAAATGACGTGAAATTGGTAAACAATCATTTTCGAACGAGTTTTTCTCTGCACACAAGCACTTTTTGCAAAATCTGAATCCGAACCATTGACACAAATCTTCTTAATTACCTAAATCCAAAATATTTTTTTAATCCTTGAAGAAACGCGATTGCAAAATAGGAAAGGCCGGAGTAATGTAATGCGAATCATTTTGACAGCTAAGCCTTTACGCTCCCTGCATGCTTCTGCCCTCTAATGGCAAATGGTTGTAACAAACGTCTTGCCGCCTGTCATTACATTACTTTTGTTGCTTTTGCATTTACCATTTTGTAACCGCGTTTCTTCATGGATTAAAAAAATATTTTGGATTTAGGTAATTAAGAAGATTTGTGTCATTGGTTCGGATTCAGATTTTGCAAAAAGTGCTTGTGTGCAGAGAAAAACTCGTTCGAAAATGATTGTTTACCAATTTCACGTCATTTAAACCAGGCAGTACCGTTTTTGTAGGGCGACAAGTGTAGGTTATGTGCGACTTACAGTTATCGCCCAAAAAAAACGGCACTGCCTGTTTGAAATGACGTGAAATTAGTAAACAACCGTTTTCGAACGAGTTTTTCTTTGCACACAGGCACTTTTTACAAAATCTGACAACGTACATTTGTCACAAATGTTTTTAATTGTCTGAATTCAAAAGATTTTGTTAATCCATGCAGAAACGCGGTTGCAGGATTGGAATTACAAAAGTAATGTAATGACAGGCGGCAAGACGTATGTTACAGCCATTTTGCCAGTAGAGGGCAGAAGCATGCAGGGAGCGTAAAGGCTCAGCTGTCAAAATGATTCACATTACATTGCTATGGTAATTCCAATCCTGCAACTGCGTTTCTGAATGGATTAACAAAATCTTTTGAATTCAGGTAATTAAAAACATTTGTGACAAATGTACGTTGTCATATTTTGTAAAAAGTGCCTGTGAACAGAGGGAAATTTGTTAGAAAATGAATGTTTACCAATTTCACGTCATTTAAACTTGTCAGTGCCGTATTTGTTGGGTGATAACTGTTAGTCGCACATTATCGAGAAATTTAAGAGACCATCGAACACCGTTAAGTTGAACTTTCTTTTCGTTCATAAAATACTAAATTCTATTATTATTATCAATTACCTGCAGAAAAAAAAGAGAGGCATCTAACAACACTCTCAATGTCACCGACTAATTGAGGATTTTGTGTTATCCATTCTTTGTAAGCCTCAATGGACATGAATATTTTTTTATTCAATGTTTGTGACATTATTTTCTGAAATACGATTAATTTATAAATCAAATAGATACGAAAAAAATAATTTGTGAAGAACTATATAATTACTGATACAGTAGATTTGGTATTGTGGTATTGGGATAACGTTAAAAATAAATATTTTAATAAATATCGAAAACTTTGCTTTCTCATGGAGATTTTTTTTTCAATCAATCAATTTATTTTATTTTTTTTTATTATTACATACATTTTTATTATATAAATTTTATTACATTAATCACTTTCGCTTTTATAAAATTATTTTTACTATAAATTTTGAAAATGATATTTTTCATAATTTTTGTTTTTTAAAATAACAAGAATTTTGTATTTCTGATCGAATTAGGTTAAAAAATAAATGAATCAAAGCGATTTTTAAAGTTCTACAAGTTATTTATAAGATTTTAAAAGTTACACTACCGGCGGTAATTTAAAAATATTTCCTTTTTATTTTCAATAAACGTATAAAACAAGATTTTATTTACATACATTTCTTTAGAAAATGCAAAGTGACGAAAGTTGAAAAAAGAAATTATAAAAATTTTCAAGGTGCTTTTACAACTGAAAAATAATTTTTAAAAATCAAAATGCTTAATCCAAAACTTTATTCAAAGTTTAAATATTTTTTTGAAATAATGGATTTTACTAATTTACTAATTTTGATGCAACTTTAATCACTTAAATTTTCTAAATAAAATGTATAATAAAATCTTGTAAGAAATATCAATTCTACAAAAAAAATACGATTCAAAGAAGCCTATGAACGTTGTTAAAATTTAATTTCTTCATGAAGATTTAAAAAAAAAACTATTAAAATCACTGAAAATGGGGTTTTTCTTAAATATCTTATTGAAAAATTAATATTTTTGTTGTTTTTAAGGTGTAATTTTTTCAGAATTTTATACCTACGTTTATTGAAAATATAAAGGAAAAATTTTTAGTTCTTACATTTTCAAAGATATTAAATAAAAAAAAAATTAAAAGATATTGAATATTCATAAAAAAAGTAGGAGCCGCACAATTACCGCCGGTAGTGTACTTCAACATATTTTTTTTAAATTTCAAAAATAAGACTTTTGAAATTTTGAATGTTAAAAATTTATTTAGTAATTCTAATCTTCTTCATAATATTACTTTCACTTTACTATAATATTTTTTATTTCGTAAAAGTTTTATTATTTGTTTTACACTCCAGGAGATTTAAACTGACCAGTTTGTTAGTTGAAGTAACTAACCGCAAATTTAGCTAAAAAATTAACATCGATAAATAAATTTTGACGTTTAAAAATAAGGGTTATTGTTTATTTATTATTTATTTCTGTGAATTTTATAGAATAATAAACTGCTATTGAAACAAAATTTAAATTAATTAAAATGTCCAGTATTTCAATTATTTTTCTTTTCAAGAAAATTTTTTTTCTAAAGAATTATTACTAAAAAGGCATAATTTTTAATCAAATTAGATTTAAAAAATAAGTAAATCGAAGTGTTTTTTATTGCTCCACAAGTTAGTTATGCAACTTTTAAAGTTATTCCTACATTTTTTACACATTTTTAAAAAAGTCTTATTTTCCAAAATTTTAGATATTTAAAAGTTTCATATCTCTGGCTTTTATATGGACGAAAAATATTCAAAAATGGTTCAAAAGATGTGTCTAAAAAAATTCAACAAAATTAGGTAAAAACATTTATAGATGCCCTAACATTTTTTTTAAAGTTATGGGCAGAAAACGTTTTTTTGCAAAATTAAAAATCCAAAAAAATATAGTTAAACTTTATTAATCTATCTCAAAGTACTCTTATTTTATGTCCGCACGTGAAGCCTACAATTCAAGAATAAAAGAAAGTTAAATAATTTCTAAAATTTGCATGCAAGTACTTAATAATTTTATAACACATTTTGTAAAAATATTAACAAATAATAATTATTAATTACTGTTATCTAAATGTATGTTGAACAGCACATTGATTTAAATGTTAAATTTTTTGAAGAACAAAATAATCTGATAAAAAACAAATCTCTTAAATTGCATTAATCATTCATTCATAATATTATCTAAATCTTTAGAAGGTCACGTATTTTTTGTTGAAAGAAATAAAATGACTTAAATTTTTAGATTTAAAAATCTATCATTTTTTCGTAGTTTTTAAATACAAAAATATAAAATTGCCTATAATGGTACATTATATACAGTTATGATAATATATACTTACTAATTTTTTGGTTAACTGATGTTAAATCGCTGAAAACTTATTCACAAGAAAGAAAATATTTTTAAGAATGAATTCACTTAATGTTATTAATTCCTATAGTAATTATAGACGTTTTTTCATTATTAAAATTAATTAACAGAACAAAACAAATGAAAACAAAGTCTGGAGAAATTTCCAGACTTTTAATAAGTTTGTTGAGTTTGGTCAAAATTTGTGATTAGATATTTTTTTATTCTTCCTCTTACGTGACTATATGTAAATGTCATGAGGTTATTTGGATAATTTTGCTTTTTTGACCTAAAGTTCACGAAAATTTTTGAATAAAATAACTGGGAAGAATTCTTTATTTTTTGTTTTTTGTTTTTAATGAAGTGTCAAATTCAGCCCGGTGCCACTTGTTAATTTTCTTGTGAGATTAAATTTGTCTGAATGTTGAACAACGCCACCAGTGGCGCTAGATGTCCAATGGGACAATAAATAGTTGTATCTACAATAGCTGGAAAATACATTTGTTTTGTCTGATTCAAAGATAATTGCACATTTTGCGTATGAATTTACTTTAAATCACTAGATTTTAAGCAAATTATAGTAAATTCATATGCAAAATGTGCAATTACTTTGAATCAGATACGGAAACGGGTCATTCAAAAGAAAATGACAGAAGCTGTCTGTCTTTTTCTTTCTCATGCCCTATTCTCATGCTCTAAAAATTGGACGAAATTTTTCTCTACCACAAGCAGCAAAGTTTTAAAATCTGCTAGAATTACATTCCTAAGAAAGCTTTTTAAATATTGCTGAAGAAAAGGTCAAAAGGTTAATTTTTATTTTTCAGTAAGATAGTAACCAAGAGAGATACTGAAGAAACAAAACCTACACAATTATATACCAATTTTCAATCGTAAAGGACAAATAAATAAAATTCTTTTTCTAATCTACAGTTACATCTGGCAGTGATAATTACTTCGCTTTTCAAATTACACTTTAGAACGATCCTTTTGTTAACAGTTTACTTAAACAGAGTTTGCTAAGCCTACACTAGAGTCAAGTTTTAGGAACATTTCAATACTCTATTGGGATAAACGACATTCGAATAACGTGAAAGAAAATTTTTTTTGGTTACAGTTAGGTAAACGTAAAACGATGAAGTGTATAAATAGTAGTTGCTGTTTAACATTTTTTGGTGTAGTCATTCTTGGAGTGTTAGCCGGTAGCAGTTATACTCGGGGATTAATAAAGTTCCTAAGAAGGGAGTCGAGACTACACCAGGTAATGTTTATCATTGATGATCACTTACCACAAAATTCAAGTTCAAGCGCCGACCTTCTGATCAGAGATGTTTCTCACCATTTTCCATCGTTCAGTACTAGTTTCTCTACACTGAACGAAAGTCTACACAAACAATTTCCACCTTCTGCACGACCACCAAGACGAACGACGTTATTCATTATGATTCTCAATGGCGATCAAGGTGGCGCTTGGGGTAAAACGTTTCTAGCACTTATTCAACTGAAACTATTGTCGCAGGGACATTCGTATCCAAAATGTTTGATTAACATCATTTCTCAAAATGAATCTCAATCGATAAAGCCAATTCTAGAATATTTTTGGTCCCATGATTTTCTACCCTGTTTAAAAAATTTGATAGAAATGGAAAGAAAAAAATTTCTTTCCATTTCAATCCTGTTTCTGAATCCAAAATTTTCAAAAATTACAATCAGTTTCTATCACATACTTTTAATAGAAAGTCTATCCAAATCAATACTTTGTCTATCCGAAAATTGTCCCATGTTGTCCCACTGATTTCAAAGAAAGTCCTATCAAATTCTATCAAAATTGATTATTAAAAATTGTTTCCAATCCAATAAGATTTTTTGATTTAAATTCTATCAAATCCTATATCGAAAAATGACAGAAAGTTCTTTCCTATTGTATCCAAGGTGGTTACAATTGAAAACATACGCTTTGAAAAAAAATATTTGTGGAAAAAATAATAAAAGATTCTTATGACCATTAATAACATTATATTCTTAGCACACTCCAAACATACAAACATTTTAATTAAACTGGAAGAATTAAATTAAAATTTGTACCCTATGGGAATCGAACCCCGCACCTATGACCTATCTATCTAAACGCTTAACGACCGCGGCTACCGAATCGACGTGAGAAATATTTTTCGACCTGTCTATATAAACTGCAAATTTGAAAAACGTAAGTTTATGTAAAATATTATAATTTTTGTAAGTACCCATAAAAATACAAGCAGAAATTAAAATATTTATAGAGATTTGCAATATATGCTATTATGTTAAAAATATTAATTAAATATTTAATAAATTTTTGCTTAAATGTCATTTGACCGCTTTGTAATTTTTTGTAAATATTTGCAAAAAATAACATCAAACGAAATAAAAAAATAAAAAACACAGCTCAACTGTGTTAAAAAAATTTCGTTGATTTTCTAAAATGTTAAAACTTTTATGAAAATCTGTAGTTCACAACAAAACAATAAAGGGGCGCATGATTATTCCCCAAATGTCATTTTTCCGAAATGTCATTTTATCGAACTGCACTTTTGCGAATAAGTACTTATTTTTGCGAAAAGCCAATTTTGCGAAATATCACTTTTGCGAATTGTCATTTTTTCGAAAAGCTATTTTTGCGAATTGTCATTTTTGCGAATCGTTATTTTTACGAATTGTCAATTTTCCGAAAAGTCATTTTTGCGAATCGCCATTTTTACGATTTGTCAATTTTCCGAAAAGTCATTTTTGCCAATTGTCATTTTTACGAAAAGACATTTTCGAGAAAAATCATTTTTGCGAATTGTCACTTTTGCGAATCGCCATTTTTACGAATTGTCAAATTTCCGAAAAGTCATTTTTGCGAAAATTCCTATAGTGAATCTATATATGCATACAAGCAGATTTACTATAGGAATTTTCGCAAAAATGACAATTCGCAAAAATGACTTTTCGGAAAATTGACAATTCGTAAAAATGGCGATTCGCAAAAATGACAATTCGCAAAAATAGCTTTTCGCAAAAATGACAATTTGCAAAAATGACAATTCGTAAAAATGACTTTTCGCAAAAATGACTATTCGCAAAAATGACAATTCATAATATTGGCGATTCGTAAAAATGGCGATTCGCAAAAGTGACAATTCGCAAAAATGGCAATTCGTAAAAATGACTTTTCGCAAAAATGACTATTCGCAAAAGTGCAGTTCGGTAAAATGACATTTGGGGAATAATCATAAAATTTGATAGAATTTGTATCCAAACCTTTTGATAGAGAAATAATGGATTTTCATGTGGAAAGAATTTGATAGATATTCAATCAAAACTCATGGATAGCAAACTATAAGAATTTCCGACTCATAGAATTTGATAGAATTCGTATCAAAATCTTGGATAGAGAAATATTAGATTTTCATTTGGAAAGAATTTGATACATATTCAATCAAAACTCATGGATAGAAAATTATAAGATTTTTCGACTCATAGAATTTGATAGAATTCGTATCCAAACTCTTGATAGTAAAATATTGAATTTTAGTATATTATTAACTTTGATAGATAATACATCAAAACTTATGATAGGAATGGATTTAATTTTCTACTTTGGATAGAAGTGGATTGGATTTTCAATATTTGATTAAATTGGATTCGAATTTCAAGGAGTGAAGGAAGAAAATTCTATCAAATCCTATCCATTTTAATAATTTTTTTAAACAGGGTAGACATTGCAGTTTTGGAGCACTTGTCAGAAAACGATACATCCTTGGAATTAAGAGCAGGTAGACTTCCTGTTTTGCATAAAATCAATCTTTTTGCGAAAACTTACAAAGCTAATAAAGTATCAGCAAAGGCCAAATGGTTTCCAAACAAACTTTTAAACCTTCATGGATATGAAGTAAGATTCGGTCTTGGTTTTCTGAAAGATGTCAGCTTATTGAAACATAAATCCCATTTTCGAATTGTGAACATATTTTCAAAAACAATGCACTGTACTGCTATCATTCAAGAAACTGCATTTTTGAACAGGGAAATATTTTTTAAGCTCATCTACCGCAACAAAGTAGAAATGTTTTTAAATCTTGTAAACATTCAAACTTCAGGAAGTCTTTATTCAAAAAAGCCACAAATACGCATTGTGGATTTTTCAACTCTAAAGGCCGTGATACCTGTAACTTCAAAGTTCAATAAAGTAATCGTCATTTCAAAGGAATTCATGTACATGTTACTTGCAACCACGGTTGTAGTTGTAACTATTGGAATCACGGCTTGGATTTTAAAATTCAACAAGACAACTTGGCAATTGTTCAACATCAGTCGAATTATAATGGGCACGTCTGTCACCAGAGAACCTGGGAAGACAGTGGAGAGAATAGTTTTTGGAATATTCTTGTTGAGTTGCATTGTCTACTCAGGTTACTTGTACTCAGTGATCTTGGACCTCTCTTTGCAAGCCGAACCTCAAATTTCAAATCTCGAAGAACTTGCCAACTCGTCACTAACGCCATTAGTGACTCCAGCTTTCAAACGATTAATGCTTAAAAGTCCTATTAGTTACATTCGAAAACTAGGCACAAAGGCAGCTAATGACTCTATTATGAATTCAGATAATGAATGTTTGGCTTACTTAACGAAGTATGCAAATGTAACTTGTATTACAACTGATAAAATTATAAATGAATTCAAGAAGCAATCAAAATTCAGCGGCAGAATACTACATGAACCCGTGACATATTTTTTTAAGAGCTGGTTAGCAAGAGCTGGATCTCCTTTTCTTGATCGCTTTAATGAAGTAATACTCAAAGCATCAGAACATGGATTACTATCGTTTCTTCTGAACGCAAATGATAAACAACAAAATAAACCTTCGGCTCCGGAAGAAATCAGTAAGGAGAAACTACTTATGATTCTCCTTTATCTGCTGGTTATTGGATACTCCGCCGCAACGTTAACTTTTATGGTGGAAGTAATGAGCGTTATCAATCGACGTAGAGTCAATGCATCTTGTCGTACTTGCTGCAAATGTATGAAATAAAATATTACAGAGAGGTATTTTTATTAAGAACTTTATTTGCAATTATGTCGTGTCTATGTAAACAACCTTTGTCTTAATTTTTTGATTTTTATTACCGACATATTCCAGAAAAATTGAAGAATGTTATTGTTGTTTGATATATTATTTCCTTTGAATACTTATTAGTTTTTTATTAATATCATGAACAGTAAGTAGGGAAAAGGTGTACGAGATGATCCCTCTAAGGAAAAAACCCCATCCCATTATTCAAAGAAAAATCAACATTCCAGTTTTTTTGTACGCACTACTAGATAATTAACCTATCTAACTATATATTCTGATTTGAAATATATGCAGCTAATTAATATTTTACTA